ATGTATTCTATAATAAAGACATTCGAAGGTTTTGAAGAATCAGAAAATTCGGAAGATGGCTCTCTGACATATCAGATACATCAATTTGAAATCATGAAGAAAAAGTTAGCAACATTTGAAGGTTGTTTTGAAGAGTCAGAAAATTTAGAAGATGGCACTCTATGGCATATCAAGTGTATCAATTTGAAATCATGAAGAAAAGTTAACAAAGTATGTCACTAAAGTGACCATTCCGATTACTGATTAAAATTAAGGCGTGTTTATGTGCGCGTCAATAACTTTGAGAAAAGAAACATTGTTTCGAAAACGAACCGTTTGGAATGTGGATAAGAACAGAGGAAAAGCCGTCGTGTCGCAAGAGTCCAAATCTGTCCTTGCATCGTTATTGATGACGGTGGATCATAGCCCGCTTTTACGTAGGAGATGAACTGAAAGGGCTCTTCCTTACCTTTTTTACGATTTGGGAATTCCCTCGGAAGTAAGCTTTTAGCTGCTACTATTTTTTATTGATAGCTTTAGTCACTAATTATCTAGCGATTTATACGGACGATGTGCTACTTGCACATCTCGTCAAAGTTCCTAATTTTAGCTTCATTCAACTCATTTTCAGCATTCATAAGATGCTGCGAAGTGTATGTCCGAATCTTTATGCAGAATATCCGCCAGCGCATACAGTATACTCAAGTTACTGCCATGGAAAGAGGAAGTAGTGGGGACGGGGGGGGGGGGGGGGGAGGGCAGAATTTGACTGCTGGAATGAGGGTTTTGTCGATTTCACTGGAAGGTGTCTGCCTGAGCTCCTTGGCCGTGAATTCCGTGTATAGCAGTCAAGCAAGAGGATAAGGTATAGCTGAACTCCGAAAAAGAGCAATTTGAGCCTCTCACTCTATTTGGACTATGTTTCTAATTGCTAGATCATGCTTGTCGAACAACTGAAACAAAAAAAAACTATTGCAAGTGGTATCACATACAACAAAGCACCTGCTTAGCTTTTTTCAGACTTGTCCATAGAATATCAAGTATTGCTTGCCCAACCTGCATTACTCCAAAGTTCACAACAAAAGCTTATCGATATTTGATTCTTACACCACACACTTTGAATTCACACCGTATTTCGAATGTAAGCACAGAACGTGGCCAAAGCGAAGGCGGCTTTTGGGTTATAGTTTTATTTTCCTCCATCTTATCTTTACACAGCTCAGAGTGTCCTATCACGGTCATCGCGCTTATTGTGCCACACCCTTTGCCTGACCTCAAACCTTAGTAGCTTGAAGTGGCCTTTTCATCCGGATGAATATATTTGGGTCCGAGTTTCCATGAACTACTTCTCAATATCGATAAAGTAACGTCAAGACCCCATCATGAAGTCGTTTGTAACAATCGATGTAACAGGAACACATGTAGCAACTCCAAGACAGCGCGAGAAGAACTGGCTCTCGAACAGCGCTACGAATGTCGCAGGATTCATAACTAGCCGACAACACAATTCTATTTGTCAAGACGGAGGCAACTTATCGAAAAACACGTCGAATTTCCTTGACCTAGCGTTAAGTACGGTTACTTTTTTTCTGACAAACCACAGTGGTGCGCGTTATTTAGCAACCAGTGCGCGCGTCCGTGTAGTAGTTGCTTTTTCTCAGCTCATACCAAGACTAGTTTGATTTATTTACTGCAACCTGTTTGAAAAGAGACTGACATATTCGAGAGTTTTGAGATTTTCAATAGGTTTGATAAAGCACGCAGTGCTCGTTCAATAAAAACTGAGGAAGCGAACTTATTCCAATGCATCTGAAGAGCACATCTTGAGCTCTAAACCCAACCAATGCTTGCTTTATCTGACAGAGTACTTCTACTCACTTCTTCACTATACAAAGTCTATAAAGCCCATAATACATGTTGTTTCCACATTGTAAACAGAGATTGGTTACCGAATCTACGTTTTCAGCCAGTGTCCTGAAATAGCTATGGTTACAACAGTCTACTTTAAAGCAAAAAGGTTCGTGATTGCCTTCTATCTACCACTTTTTGTGAGTTTTTGATTCCAAGGTCGGCTGCGTATTGTACATCGATCATTTCTAAACAATATCTTTATCTTTGCATTGAGGTTGTAGCAGTCTTTGAGACTGAACTCTAATTTAATGAAACTTTGAAACGAAATCAATCCAAGGTGAAAACTCCAGCTCTGCGGAAGGTGGAAGCTGTTGCTTGTTCTTGCAATATTTTCTCAACACTTCTCCTCTATGTTCGAGATAATGGACCAAATATACTTGGCGATCCTGAATCGCGCTTATTTCACTTATTCCCGCCGCCTAAACCTTGAAAATTAGCTGTGAGTGCTGATATCGGCACAGGTTGTAAAACCGTTAGCCTTGATGAAAGGATGAGATAAGTTACATGTGGAGAGCTAGCGCACTAGTTGGACTTCCCTTTGCAAATTTCGAGGAGTGAAGGAAGTCAAATCCAGCGAAGGACATGCTTGCTGTCTGTACCAAATTATCATCAATTAGTGTGCAACAAGTAAATTAGCGGTCGAGTCGGTTTTCTGCCTTGTCTGTATTCGCTGATTTTTTTTATTAATACTACTTGTTACATTCGCACACAATGCCGACAAGGTGTGGCCCGCCACACCCAAAGCGGTGTGGAGAAATGTCGAGAGGAGGGGAAAAAGAGAGGTGGAGAGGGTGGAGGGAGGAAACATGAAAAATAAGGCGGAATTTGACTTAATAGCGAGGAAGGCTGGCAACGGCTAGTAAAGGGAGGCTTCCTGAAGGCCGTGGTCATTTATCAGGCAAATCATACAAGTTGGCTGGAATGTGAGAGCGCTTCGAACATTTGTCCCCTTTGAAACTGTACAATGAAGTGCAAATATTAGGTCGTCCCGGAAGTCATAACTTCTGATTTTTCCAGCCGATTCAGTTGCGTTCATTTTTGTATGAAAGAGAAAATTTTGCTCTTTATAAAGGTGTCTTAGCTGATTACAATGTTTATTTGTTGCATAGATAAGAGCGTTAGAAGAAAATTACTCAAGTTTTGAATTTTGTAGGGTCGTAAAAAATTCGGAATTTGCAGTAGAAATCGGAGCTATCAGTATTATAGGTTCTATTACCTGCTCTTTCTACCCTACACAGAAAATTCGAATTTTGACTAGTTTTCTTCTATCGCTCCTATCTATGCAATGTATGATCCCTAGTAAGCAGCACCAAGGTGTCATTATAAAGATCATGACCTGTTCATTCATAGAAAAATAAAGGCAGTCAAATCGGTGAAGAATCAGAAGTTATGAATTTTTGAAAATGCTGCGAACGAACATTTGGGACGACCTAATATAAAGGAAACTGGAGTCTTCAAATGACCACCACAAAAATAACTTGTGCCGCACGTGGATAACAACACTAGAGCAAAAATAGCGTGAGATTGAGTCTAGAAATGTGCCAGGCGAAATTCCAGCTCTATGGAGATATAGCTTTCTCTGGCTTACGTAGTTAGTTACGCTGTGCGTCTACTCCCAGAGTAGTGATGAAGATTGCTAATTCAAAATTTGAGATACTGAGTAAACAAAAGAGATTAAAGGCCTTTCAAAAATTTGGATGCGCCCGTACTCCTCACGTACAGCTTTGCCACTTAATTTTGTGTAGCGAATTCATAGTTAGAACATATTCGAAAATACTTCCAGTACACAAGCAGAGATCCCCATAAAAGTTAAAAATGGGTCCCACTGAACTCTGTGAAATGTTCTTCGAGATATACTTCAAGACCGTATATATACAAAAGAGAAACAGCGTTTTTGTATGCGCCACTACATTACAGCCATTTCCAGATGCGCCTCTGACTGTCAATTTCGATCTACCTCGTACACGGCTCAGCACAGCTGGCACCGGGTCAAGCTGGATATCGTTTTTAGGGCGGAAAGCAAAGGGGATATCGTTTCTACAGGGGCCGAGGCGGAGAACTGCCGCAAAAATGCCGCCGGCATGCCACCGGCATGCCATTTGCAAGCTGTCCATCAACAAACAAAGGCGTTGTTTTCAGCCAAAACGCAATAGTATGACACCAAATTTGGTGTGTGCATGTGCGTTGGTGGACCGGAACTACGGGCCAAAAATTTATGAAAACTTATGTGAATGAAAGCTATGCCGAACTTTTTTCTGAATTAGCTGGCACCGTGCCAGCTGGGTGCCAGCTGAGCTGGCACCGACACTTTGCCCACATAAATTTTCATACTTTTTTACATAAAATGTATCTACACTGTAAAAGATTACATACGGAGAAGAAACAGTTTCATAATGTTCTCTTTACAGCGTTTTATAGCAATTTGAAAACCACTCGGTCCGCTCCGCAGTCGAAAAATCGGCTTTCTCTGCTTCTCAAGATGTGATTCGACCACTTAAAAAGCTCAGAAAGCTGTGAAAAGTTCTTTCATGAAATCAGGAATGCATGAAAACGCTACTACATTTTTTACACAATACAAAAATGATGCGGGTTTTTAAAACAGTCAAAAGGGACTTCGTACGAAATTTTCAATATCAAACGGGACTTCGTTTTGAAATTTCCCTGGTGCCAGCTCGTGCCGAGCTTTGACCTCGTACATCTGCGAGAATCTAGCTATGATTTCTCATTCGTAAATTATGTGGCTGGCGAATGAAGAATAATGAATGTATTATCTATCTTATTGCTCTTGAATTTATCAAATTCAGTTTGATCAGCGTTGGGCAGCATGAAACAGCCAACGAAAAATTTTGCTTTATATTGATTATTTATTTTGATTTACCAAAGTTGAACGATTCTTATTGAGAAGACAACCAAACATATTTCCTTCTAGGTGGGTGTTTGTAGAGCCGTACATAAATCCACTTATCACTTCCATTTACTACCTCAACAAGCTTAGGTACTTTATTGCTTTTGAGCGTTTAAAAAGCTCACTTATGTTTGCTGTCAGGACTTGATTGGAGATTTGATTCCTTATTCATTGTCCTGTATTCCTCCAACTGTAATCTCAGTGAGCATCCAAGCATACAATTTTATACAGACAATTTGCAGATTGATTAAATTCAAATGCACACGTATTCATGCAAAGACTGCGTAATTTGAGATCAAAGTTGTGACTGTTTGAATTCTCGCCGAAGCTTTTCAATACGAAGATCATTCATGAGTTGTACGGGTACGTCATCAGCTCCATACATGTACTTGTCTCGCAACATATCGTGCACCATCGAGTTCGAGTCTTCCGCATATCCGTAATCGAGTAATTCCTGAATTGTCATTTCCCTTTTGACACTCCACTAACGATACTTCGTACCTGAGATTGATGCTGTATGAAGTTCTCATCTTTGTAATCGTGCCAATGGCCTAACCGTGTGTCTTCAGTGCTAGAAAAAATATTGACTGCAGTACCAGCTTTTATGCCGAAAGAAGCAGGTTACTTTTAGAAAACTCATATCCAATTTGGAACATTGAATATATATAGGATTAAAAGCTCGGATCTGACTTTAAAACGACCGATACTTCGCAAGTACGCAACTATTCCTTCTTTTGATTCGCAAGCAGTTGGAATTTAGAAGGAAGACTTCCTAACTAACATCACACAAGATATCGCAAAACACATTCTATTCACTACTGGAAAGGTGAAGATGGTAACAATTGGTTGGCACGCTAGATTACTGTACATGTTGATATCTGCTTTCCTCAAACAACATTGTCCTTTTCAAGCATTGAAGCATGCCAGAGCTAAAAAACTTACGGATTTATGGATTCGGCGTAAACAGTTTCCGAACGCTGCTGGAATGAGGTTGAGCACACTAAAATTGTGTTGAAAGTATTTTATTATATGATAGACTAGGGATTTACCGTAATCGTTGAACTGTTTGTTCTTTTTATGTCGGCGGTTCAAGTATTTACCATACTTCGAGTACAAATAGAGAATTGTGAACAAGAAGAAGAAGAGAAATCCACCAAAAACTGCCCACCACATTGATGGAGGCCCATATCCTGAAACAGCACGAACATAGAGCAAGAGGTATTGAAAATCCTAGCATATACGAATACCGTAGGATCCAAGAGTTAAGGTTTCACTTGGCATGCTGGGTTCATAAGGGTCCCTAAGGCTACGGACGCGAAAACTTCGACCCAGTCGGAAGTCAGGTCGCAGCTCGAAAACTGGGTCCAACACTTCACCCTAAGAGAGAAAATCATGTAAACTAATTGTGACTTATACATAAGATAAGTCTATATGATCCCCATATGACGCATAATCTCTGACATAAAGATGAGTTTGAAGTCGGATTTGTTCACAAATAGTGAAATTGTTCAAGCAAATTTATTAAGTGTTGATGCAGTTGAAGTGGTAAGGCATCGGATACGCCAAGAGATCTGCTCTCTTCTTGAATTTGTCCTTGAATTTCTTGTTTGTTTGTTTTTCTATCTTGAGGACAAGAACTAGTTGAAAATCAGCGTGGAGTGATTTAAGAAGAGCAGAATTCAAGTAATAAAGTACTGTATTCAGCAGTCATTTGTGCTATTGTATTTTGACAAGATCTGAACACAAAGACGAGGCTTTATGAGCTAAACTCATTCCGCGCAGTTTGAATGAGATGGAAAATATTGCTCAGACTTTAACAAAAAAGAACGGTGTTGATGTTTGGGTGGATCAAAAAATGGCACTGGTTTTATACACAAAGTGTTGGCCTGATAGAAAGGTCTCAAATCAACCTCAACGGCAGTTATTACTATATTTTTACACCAAATAATTTTTCTAAACTTCACATCATGAACTTTTACCGATACCACATAGTGCAATGTTGCAAAATTTAGTCAGCATCGAGCTGTTGACAGATTATTCTAGCTGAAAAAGTTGAACATGATTGATATTTTTCTTCATACTTTGCTCGGGGAAAAATAGTAGTATTTATTTTGTTAGAAAAAAATGAGAAATATTCGAAAACTGTGACAAAGGAGAAGTAAAAAAGTGAGAAGATGTAAATATTGTGACAAAGTTACCCAGGCCCAACACGGGTTTTTGATCACATCTAGGTTTCTTGCCCTTGAAATTCTGCTCACGAGCAAGCGCAGGTTGAATGCCCGCACTGTTCGCCATAGCCAACGATGGCGCATCTGCTTGAACCAGCTCATTGAGTTTTCTATACATCTTCTGGAGCTAGCATTCTTTATATCAGGTTGTCCGGAAATTAATGCCCGTTTTGAATTTCAACCGCAATAAGTCATACACTTCTCATTTCTAAATAGATTGCAAAGTACCATTCGAGAGAGCAAATCAAGCTCTACAAGGCGACTATCTTGATTTTGCAACAGCTCTCTTCTATTTCGAGTTTCGAGCCAAAAACTAAGAAGACTCAGCAGCCTGAAAAATCGAAAAAAATCGTAACTCAGTTCATAAAAGCCCTATAAAAATTCTTACTTGATCACGTAAACACTATCCACATAATACATCTATATACGCCTTTGCCATATTTTTTCCTCTGTTAGAAATCAAGAAAACGAAAATTTTCATGCATTTGCTAAAGTAATGCTGTGCCGTCCCCACATAGCTAGTTGTATACCACAAGCCTGTAGAAGTACAGACTTAAATTTTCAGCTCTCTACAAGCTTTAGTTCTCGAGAAATTTGAATTTTTGCTTGGACCACCTAACTAGGGAAAGCTGTATTCGGTACTTCTCGAGAACTAAAGCTTGTAGAGAGCTGAAAATTTAAGTCTATACTTCTACAGGCTTGTGGTATATAACTACCTATGTGGGGACGGCACAGCATCACTTTGGCAAATGCACGAAAATTTCCATTTTCTTGATTTCTAGCAGAGGAAAAAATATGGCAAAGGCGTATATAGATGTCTTATGTGGATAGTATTTACGTGAGCGAGTAAGAATTTTTGTAGGATTTTTATGAACTGAGTTACGATTTTTCTCGAGTTTTTGGGCAGCTGAGTCTTTTTACTTTTTACCACAAAACTCAAGGTGGATAAGAGCTGTTGCAAAAGCAAAAGAGTTCTCTTGTAGAGCTTGATTTGCTCTATCGAATGGTACTTTGCAACCTACTTAAAAATGGGAGTGTATGACTTATTGCGGTTGAAATTCAAAACGGGCATCAATTTCCAAACAACCTAATAGATGACCTGACTGGTCATCTATAAAGAATGACTGTGCATGTAAAGACCATGTGCCAGTGGCGTACCAAGCCCCTCCCCGAGAATGAGTCGCGTTTTGAAAGTTACTTACATGAGTTATAAAAATGTGCAAAAGCCTTGCGTATACTTGAAATTAATTAAAATAATCTTTAAAACTTTTTAAAAATTCAGCTTAGCCTTATAAAAAATTTTTTGGGGGCCCCTTTTCCCGGAATTTCGGAGTTAAGAGCACGCGAAAATTTTTAAAGCAAACCAAAAACTTTTTCGGAGTGCATGGCTAACGCCACGCCCCTTGACCAGAAAAATTCTTTGTCGCCCTCCCCCCCTCCCCCGAACGGAAATCTTGGGTACGCCACTGTCATGTGCCTAACATTCACGGACCAACCCATGAAAAATTGCAGCTTCGTGGGTGAGTAGGTGAGCAGCTAAGACAACGAAAGGGTGTCATTGGGACAGCCTCATCTTCCGCTTTCAAATAGCAAATAGCTTAATCGGGTTCTTTTTCTAAAGTAGTCGGTCAAAAAAATTTTTGGAGGTTCTTTGAATAAGCAAAGACCTTTAACTTCTACAAATGAGCAGCTAGGACAACAATAATGTGTTATTAAGATTGCCTTGTTTTCTGCTTTCACAAATAGCCTGCTTCGAAAACGATTTGTCTTGAGACATTTAGGTCGCTCGCAAGCGCTCCTTGTTTCTAACTTTCTTGCCAGAATTAGAACTATACTGCCCTTAGATCGGCCATGCTAAAAATCAGTGAACAATGAAAAGAAGGAAAAACTTGGCAGTGCCAAACTTCTGTTTTAAGCCGATAAAAAAATTTGAAACTCAAATTTGGTGAGAGTATACAATTCGTGCGCACATAGTGTTACACAGATGCACTGAATTGGAGAAGTTTATGCGAATGGGGGATCTGTAGCTTTGGGCGGCATTGTATTATCAAATTTCTCGGTGTGGAAGGCTAGACTAGTTGATTTATAAACTCACAACTCGTTCAAATGCAGACATCTTGTCGTAGCGCGATTCTACCCGGTAAGACATGGCTACAGCGACTGGATCCCAGCGCAGTTCATCAGGGCGGCTGAGTCTTAAATTCGTTGGCGATGGCAGAGTAGAACAAACTGGAAATCTCTTGTTATCGGCCAATAAATCATAATAGATGGAGAGATTAGAACGTATGTCAGAAAAAAATTTCTCAAGTCAACTCATATAGCCCAGCTCGCAGATAAGTCCGCCTACGGATTCGTTTGCCTAAAATTTAGCTTCGACACGATGCAGCCTTCATAAAATTTCAAGAAGATAAGGCTTGTTGCACATAATTCAAAAACAAATGAAGAGCTTTTGCGAACGACCATGAAAAAGGATAAAACTCCAACCAATGGGGATGGTGGAATTCGATCTGGCAACCCTTGAAGTGCTAAGGCAAAAAAGAGTCCAACACAGAAAATAATGGCAAACAAGCCGCACACTGTTAAAAAGTGCACTTCAAGCTTCTTCGGATGCTAAAGCCCTAACTTCTTGCAGATTTGTCTCAGACAGGAAGATTAGACATTCAGAGAAGGAAACTTCCATAGCCCTTTGTGGGAAGTGCTGCGGATATTTCCGTTTTCAATCAGTCTGGCGTCAAATTCCTGCAGGACCCATGTTCGCCCTCACTTCCTGTAGTAAACAAAATTGTGGAACGGCTGCAAATGTTGCTTGTTCTCCGGAAGTTCCCGTGGATTGTCTGAGGAGGACAATACATGATTCTGGACAAAATCCAAGCTTGCGTAACCAGATAACCTACAGATTTTGAGGTACTATCTGCTAGCAAGTGATTTTTTTTTGAGGAAGACACAATTTGCTTTACGAGAACGAAGTGCATTCTACCTTGCCATGTGATAACCCAAGAATTCCCATTGCTGTTTGATACTGTCGCTATTGCGAAACGTGTTTCGTTTTTTCATGCTAACACTGATCGCAACACCAGTGAATTCGTCATACGGCTTTTCGGTGCGCGATCTTCGTGGTGTGAAAAAGAAATAAGGTACCATATCCCAGAGAAAAAAAAAGATTCTAGTGGCTTCTTCGGGCTAAATACCCAAAGCGGACATTGGAAACCAACTTGTTGCAGTCACTTTAATTAACAACTCGTTTCAGTCATTGACTTATCAAGTTAGGCATTTCTTCGTCGACACGCGACGAAAACGAGCAAAAACAGTCTCGTAAGTTAAAGTACACTGAATTCTTGCGTTAACTACTGTTTTTTTTGGAACAGAAACATGTGTGAGAGACTATAAACTGATGATGATAACCAGCTAACCGTGTTTTTCGACCGCTGTAGAATTCGTAGATCCTTTCTGATTCCGGCTTTCCACGTGAATTCTGTACTTCGAAAAAGCTTTCAAGTCTCCAATCGTTGCAGTAGTTGACGTTGTGAGAAGGCTCTTGCCCAATGGATCGTCGTCGGATGAATAGTGCAAGATAAAGGATTGGGCGTAAGAGCCGTTGAAACCTAAAATGAATTAATAAGATGGATTAAACAAGGATTCAATGTGAGTGAGCACTTGAGGCTGACTATTCTGCTAGTCTTAGCATCTAATTAGACTTATTAATGCACTCTGTGAAGAATAACGTTCGTATTTTTGGGTAATACCTGGCGTCCAGCTCACAGTCATTGCTTCGTCACCCATGCATTCGACATTTTCAATTACTGCCGATTGTGGTCTCGTCCTCTGTAAGTTCTCCAAATCAGTTATGAGATGCAATTATTGTAAGCCCTACATCTACGATGAGCTTCATAGTACTTGATATTGATGACACAGCATTACTAACAACGCATTCGTAGGTACCGTGATCGCTGAAAGAGACGGATGCAAACGACAACACCGCCGAAGATATTCGTCTCTAAAATTCTGAGCATCCGGATGACGGGCAAAGATTTTACCTTAAAATGAAATTTACCTTGGAATGGATCCAGTAAACTATCGGAAGAGGATCGCCAAATCCATCGCAAACTACTTCAGCTGGTGCACCTTCAAATACTCGCAACTCGGGAGGTGGTTGTTTTATGAAGACAGGTGGCTCTAAAAACGACTGAATTAGACAATTGAAGCAATTGTTTCAAACAAGAAATACGTCGTACCAGCTATTACCACGTGTGTTTCTAGTATACTACTTCTTCCCACGGAATTTTCAGCTTGGCAACCAAAAATTCCTCCGTCGCTGTCGCTTTCGGCTTTTATCAGAAGCGAGCTCTAAAGACTACTTTATTCAATCAGATTTCATCAGTCCTGCATACTCAGTTCGTATTCAATAGAAGTAAAACTAATAAGGTACATGGCATTATACTGCTTCTTAACCAGAGCAGCTTTAAAAATTGCATTATCAAATATATGTGGTCTTTTGATCGGGATGTAGAAAAATTATAACAGCTTTTGCAAGTATTATTTATGCAGTTCACGAGTTAAGGTAGCGTAAGACAGAATGAAGAAGTGACTTCTACGTTTTACATTCCCATAAAGGGTTGCTGAAGCCATCAAAAGTAAACTTAGAGCTTCGCATATGCAGGGAGATTCGGCACGTTGAAGACTTTCCGGACTTTCTAAAATTCTGCGACTTCTTCCTGACTTATCTGAACTAAAGCTGAATTACCGTAAATAACAGCAGCTCCTGTCGATATATTCTATTTTTTGGGCTGCATTGCGGCTCTATAGAAAAGACTCTTAGAAAAGACTCTAAAGATGACAGCAAAGAATGTTCTTAGTAAAGATAGCTATGTGTAATGATAGAAATCCTTTTTGCATTCCGGTTTCGGGGCTAAGAACTAGACCGGTAATACGACTTCCTGGGTGCCCCTTTCCTGCCCCCATGTTCCCAAGATCCAGTTAAACAGCAAGTCTTCTGATTTACTTTTATTTTCACTTCGACTCCAGATGTATAGAGTATATATTTTTTCGAATGCTTTTGAACCCGCACGTTTATACCTTTCTTTTTTGCCTCAAAAGCTTCTAGGGCAACCCGTGTCCAACATGCCAGGGCCTGCGTGAGCTTCTGTGGTATTTGCCACAGGCGTCTTGTAAAAAGAAAGCCACGTTGCAGCTAAATGCACAATGGATAGCATCATGACATATGACTGATTCCGGATGACATTGGCGATCTTGTTCGGCCAGCTTGTTCGCCATTTTTCATTCATAGACAACACTGATGTCTTTCTTTGCGATATCCATCATTAAGCATAGGTTCTAATCTGGATTTTCGAGGAACATAGTGGCAGTCGCTCTAATTTGATGTGATACCCTCACAAAAACATAGTCGTCCGCAATTTCGATACTTTGCATCAGCTGATATGTTCGAAAATATACACATCGAAGATGCTGCAAGAAGGTCATTCGGTCTTAAGTATTAGGGTCAGGAGATTTCTCGGTGATCAATACTGCAGCTGAGATGTCACGAAAATTCTTAGAGTTCAAATGTGGTTTTAAATAGCATATTTCATTCTTGTGGCCTACATTTGACAACTTAACTTTTTCTTCAACAAACACGCAACGTATGAAAATCAAGGAAGTGTGGCCCCACCAAAATAGGGCCTTCAAACTCTCAAAGCGCCTCTGAATCTGACCTTTCATTAAATTGGTCATGAACTGGTTTCACTGTTTAACAACATCACTTCTTCTCATTTCCTGCATGCATTCAGCTTTTTGACTCGTTGATAACGAAAAAACTGCTCACCTCAGCAGTATTTAACAGAAAATGTCCATTCTTTGACCACATGTAATGACTAGGAGCCGGATTCGCATCCACTGCACATTGAATCGTTCCATTCTGCCCATATCCAATTGTGAGCACTTGTCGATGCGACGGTAGCGCTAGAGGAGGGTCTGAAAATAAACACCTAACTTTCGCATTCCATCATATCTCGCGAAGTTATCCCTTAGAGTTTGTAAACAGTTGCACAGTCTTTGACTATCTTAATAAAGAATGTTTATAATCAGAGTATTGGAACTCGTGACTGGCGATAGCGGCGATTAATTGACCCGGTTATTCTCAACGAATAATTATTGTTTTGCTGTTAGAGATTCATTGTGACCGCAATCGTTTGAAGTATGATTAGTGACCTCGTTCTTCTTCGGCTATGTCGAGACGGGAGACAAGAGGCAATGTAGACAAAGTGAGAACTATCTGGTCTTTGTATGAAAAACTTGTAAAAACATGACGTGCGTCTCGTAGCGTAAAGCAGCCGATGTAGGCGTAGATAAGGGATGACTGATAAACAGTGACGATAGATCAGAGAAAGTTTCAACGATTTTTTCTTATGCTCGACGAAAGTACGCTGCAGATGTGTGAGCCACTCCGCACATTTTTTCGCTTCGAACTATTCCTTCCACAATTTATACCAGAGCGGAAAAAAGCAACACTCAACATGTGTACGAAATAGAGGAGTGCCTTTAGAAATGTTCCAGAAAATCACAACGCCGCGCCCCCGGAAAAATTTGCAGAAGCTGACCTCAAAACTTTTTTTGTATTTGCGTGTACCGTAACTGGTGCATTGTGATTATTGCAGTTGGCATGAGGTGGGACATAGTAAGTAGATTTTTGAAGAAGATCAGAATGTGAACAATGTCATCCTAAATATCATCGAAATCAGGGATTCTCGAAAATAGTAAATTTTGAGCAAAAAACCGTCAAGAGAAATCCATAAATTCCAAGCCTACAAAGTGTTTTCTTTCCCCTGATGAATATCTGCTCGTCAAAAATCAGCAAAATTTGATAAATTAGAGAATTTTGGACATAGGAAAAATTGGCACATTGCAGCTTCCTGCAATAATAACTATATTTAAGACCCGTTCTCAAGGTCTCGTTTCAAGAGCAGTCAGAGAGCCGCAGAAAAGCGGTGTAGAATATTTTTCCTAGTTGCTGTGTCGAAAAATTTTGGCATCCTCAAACCTACTGCAGAAACGAAGATCCTAAGAGTGACTTGATTATGCTTTATGAAATCACTTTCAGCGTGAGGTATATACTTGTGACGACAAATCTATCTAGACAGTGTCAAGGTGTTCTAACTTGGATGAAAACGTAAACCTTGCTTACGTCCCACCTTCGAATCGCTCGGAGGGAACAGAGATACAAACAAGAAAACATAAAAACAAATACCAAAACAGGTTGTTAAGAGTTAGGTGAAACTTTGGCTATAGTCAAACAAGCGATCGCGTTAACAATGATCCTTTCTCTATCCTCAATATTGTAAGTTTTCTTGCAAAGAAATTATTGTTGTTGCTTATCTTGCAAAGGACCATTCCAACTTGGGCATAAAAAGACTCACACAAAACATCGAGAAATGCTGAAACTTGAGAGCGTTCTCCAGATGGACTTTGAGCGATGCATTCGTAGTATCCGCGATCCTCCTTTCTCACATCTCGGAGCGAAAAATCACCCTCCTTGAATGAATCGTCATGCTTTCCATCTGGGCTGCGAAATATGCCAACCTTCACTTCGGCTCTCAAGCCAGTTTCTGTTGTTTTCACAGGCTGACCACCGAAAGTCCACGAATAATGTACATTTTCCGACTGGGCATCTGCCTGACAGCGCCAAAAGACGTTTGATCCTTGGACGACTGTCTTGTTTGTTGGCACAAAATCAAATGTTGGCACTTCTGCAAGGTCTATATGTGAATATGCTAGATAGAACCTTATGGAGAAGCTGATTACTGGAAAATCTGAGTTCAATCTGTGATTTCGCTTTTCCTTCCACATTCACAGCTAAACAATGATAGTGACCCTGTAAAACTTTGCATGGAGTAATTTTTGATGAAAATTTGCTCTAACCTCATGGTGTTTTTCCAGGTTTGTTATGTTCAAGACGGATCCAGTATTGACAATTTTCCCATCCTTAAATCAAATCAGACTTTCCGAACACTTCATTGGCGTAGAGCAAACCTTCAACCAAGTTATCTCCGGTGGAGGTACACCTTCTGCTCTGCACTCTATAGAGAGAGAATCGCCGATCTTGCTGTAGCTTATTTGATGATTTGTAGGCGATATCACTTTGGGTGTGGCTGAAAAATTCGCTAAAAGTTGTACTTAAAAAGAAGAGGAATGATCTAATGCTTATCGCCGACATCAAGTTCCATCAATGAGCTAAAAATAACCCAAAAATTGGCCATACTTTGGAAGTTGTACTTCAAAAACTTGTGAATTCTACTAGTTGAAATTGCATCAAAAACCTCAGTATTCTCAAACGGAAAGCTAAGCTTCAGAACAACGTAGAAAGTTGTATTTTTTTTCAAGCTTCCAAAAAAGTACGTATATTTAGGCGAGAATAGAAATTTCAAAATAATGTTATGCTCCTACACATGCACCTACTTCCATGAGTGAAGGTAGAGGTTTGCACTTGTTTTAGTATACAATCTTGAGAATGGCACTAAGCATTTGCATTTCTTCTACAGCCTCTGCTTCAGATTATTCGTTCCAAAGACGAATGAATAACCCCACCCCAAAAAGTGGCCACTCAGGTGTCGCTCTTGCTTGGAACGTCGGCTTCGACGGATCTGTTTTTAGAGAAATGCGTGGGATTACGTAGCCGAAATCACATCAACGTAACAGCACGCAGCCACAATGCAAAGTTCGGAGTTCCTACCGTTGACGACGAGCCGCAGCGGCGGTCCACTCTCGGAGCGCGTCGGCTGTTTCCCGAATCGAGTAATGACGCAGTGATAGCGACCAGCATCGCCGCCGCCAACCGAGTGGATGGTCAGGCCCAGGCCGGACGCGCGCACGACACTGCCTGTAAGAAGAAATTTGACAAGGATTTAACGAAAGCGGATCTCTGCATTTGAGCAAGTAACAGGGACGAATTCCAGGGACTGGACAAACATTGGACAGGACAGATCGACCTTTCGCCCGATGCTTATCACTTTGCGAACCCGTTTCGGGGCGGGCGGTTGGTAGGGATCAAGACGCGGCGGCGGCCAGGCAATCCCTGACCCACTTCCGATGAGGCTGGTCTACCTCGCCATGCTTGTGCTGTGTGACCGGGCCTCCGCTAACGTTGAGTCCTGCTGTCGGAAGCATCGTGTGTCGGAAGTCTGCTCGCGGGCGCTCTGCAGACTCACGTCGCCACCAGGCGACAAGGAGATATACACGGTTTTCGAGCCTCCTACTCAATGCCACAACTTTCTGCCACAAATTGCGGAGTGTATTGTGGACGGTCGCGATTCCACTGCATGTTGCCAAACAAATGCCGTCCAGGCCGATGAGAATTCATGCTTCGATCTATGTAGAGGCTCACCGGACGGCATGAGAAACTGGACTGACTATCAGTCCTGCTTGTCCCTCAATCTCGCATCCATGTATAGCTGCATCCTTAGCAGTCATTCGACTACACCATCACAGCCGCGCCACCTGAAAAGCATACCGAAAAGCAACACATCAATGAAGATCCAGTGGAGCTCCCCTGCTGAGCATCCAAAGCTTGTACACGTTTACAAAGTTCATTTACTCGACGATGAGATAGAGCGTATACATACCACTAAGCACAACTCTCATATTTTTGAACATCTCAGACCTGACCGGTCTTACAGAGTCTACGTTGTGGCACACGCTTCAGATCCGTCCAGCAAATCTGTACCTTCTGACATATTGCGCTTTTCAACGTCGTCTTCCGACAGCGATGGACCAAGCTTCAACTCAACTTTGCATTTGCCGAAAGAAGCAAAAAGGACTACGCTTCCGTGCCATCTGCGAAAGGGGATATCCACGCACATGATATGGGAGAAGAAAGTAGGGTCATTCTATCGCCGAGTTGACGGATCTCGCTACCACGTAACAACTTACACTTCTGAAGATAGAAAAGAATTGATGCAGATGCTGGTTTCTTCGCTTGATATCTATGATTTGAACAGCTCGGATTTCGGCACCTACAGATGTCACGATAGCGGAAGCCGCAATGACTACGGAGAGGTCAGTTCTTTGCTCTCAGAAGGCTACACGAACAATTTTTGAAGTTTTTTTCTGCACTGGGCATGTTGACATGAACGGCTATGATTGATACGAACGCCGTACAGTTGTCGCGGCGAAAATTCGGCACCATTCAGTAGTCCGACCTTGGTCTTCCTCTGTTCCAGGTTCATCTCATTGCTTATTCGCATGCGCTCGAAAAACCACCGGAGAATCCACCGGAGACGTTGCTCGAATGCTGCTCGCGAGCAGTTTTCAATCGGGCCTGTCTATCCGTGTGTCACGCCGGAAGTGCGAAGCGAGGCCTCAGACCTGGTGAGCAGCAATTAGTTCGCTAGTTTGTTGATATTTTATCCTGATCTGTACGTATTGCTAGTGTTCAGCTTTTAAGCGGCGCAGCGAGGTGTTAAAAATGACTCTAACTTGTTTATGTCAATCATAATGGCGCTTGATTAGCAATGATGAGTTCAAATGCAGTACTTATCTGAAGTTTGCTGTTGTTTAGGAGTGTTCTACCCGGATACTAAACTTTGTAAGGATGACTTCCAAAAGCTTCTACGCTGCACTTTAAGTGAAATGAACAGTGCTGGATGCTGCATTAGAAGAAATGTTGGTCTGACGTGTGGACTTTGCCTTCTTCGCAGAAACTGCTGTTTCAGATACCATATCGCTGTCTTGGCATGTGTGATAGCAATTTCGAGTTGACCCCGCTGAGTAGCTACAAATGCATGCAGTATCAGAGTGAGGTGAGCCGCTGATTCGCAATCAAACAAGTGGACGAGTTTTGCCCCCTGAAGGTGCGACAGTGTCAAGCAGAGGTACTGAATCTGCGCCCCGAAGCGGTGTCAAATCTTCGCGCTAAGACAGAAGATGATTTGACTTTCCTGAGTTGGGACAGAAGCGAAAAAGCTGAGGTGAGTTCACCATTTTGCCATATGTTTGAATTGCAAAAAGAAAGTGCAGGTCTACCATGTGTATCACAGAAGGAGAAGAGGTCCATGGAAGTCGGCCTCCATTAAAGGAACCACTTTAAGGGTGATGAATGCAGACGAGGTAAATGCTTGCCACTTTGGGATATACAGCTTTTTTTTCTGCGTCCCAGTTCGATTCGAGTTACCTGGCTTTCTTTGCAGATTGTTGTTCTTGCCGTAAACTCGTACGGGCCTGGCTCTCCTAATCGAATTGCGTTCGAGAACAACGAATGGATAGGAAATTACGACTGATCCACATTCACGATAGTGAGTTTCTTATATCCCACCATCCCTTTTTCAAAAATCAATACATCCTCTCACTACCGTATTTTTTGCTTCGAAAGATCTTGGCATCTACTTTCGCTTTGCAGGCTCATTTCTCCAAAGAGCAAATAACTAAACAGCAGGGATTTCGTTCTTTCCACCACCACGGCACATTGTTTTGTATAGATTGGATATATAGAGGGTTAAAAATGTATACACTGTCTAATAATTGTATTTTAACCTCAAAATTTGCACTGCGGAAATTTTTCTGAAAGATAAGGTCAGCGGATCAAGTCCGATGAAGATTTTCGGTTTTGCTTACGTTACATATATTTCGTATCAACGAAAACATCTGAAAGTAGGAGACGATAGGATAAATCACGCAGGGACTTTCGACAATTACAGCTTACAGTATCCATTACTTAAAGCAGCAGTATACCAAAAAAGACTCGGACATTGTAGCTCAATGAACTCTGTCAGTGTATGCATCTTTTCGAGAATCAAAAAGCAGAATTGGAAAATAGCCATTCTTAAAATACGGGTTTTTCCACTCGAGTTTGTACTATTATCCTTCTATTCACTAAGTAATAGCATAGCCAGGAATCATATGTAGATGTAGTGCCATTCAGTTTTCGATCCCATTAAGGAATGCTACCGGGTTTCATTAGGGTTCAGCATGTTCAAAATCTGTTTTTATGTGATAATCATACGGGAATATCTATGACATTGTTTGTATTTTGATATACGTATAAAAAACGATATGTTTACCGGAATGAATATTTTCAGCTTGATTATGCAGCTAAGCACAGTATGATAGAAAACTCGCCTTGTAAAGATGGAGCCACATGGCCGGCCTCGTCCCCATATGCACTCAATATCAACTTGTTGTCCTTGCGCCATTCCAGCGAATAATTTGTGTCTTTTGGAGTGGACAATGTACATGGCAATGTTATCGGGCTGCCACTTCTACCCCATAACGTCCGCATCTCTGTGAAAACGAAATGTAGAGAGTGGGAGAACAAAACGGAAAAGTACGATACCGAACACTGACGGAAGTGAAATTGGCTTTGAAAAATCATAGATGCATTCTAGGATATAGCGTAACTTGCTTGAATTCATTTCGAAGTACTGCATGTTCAAAGCAAGAAACGTATAGGCTGCTGCATGACGAAGGCGCAATATCTTTGGGTGCGAACGCGGCTTTATTAGCCGCAGAGCGCGTGAGGCGCAGGAGTGAAGATACGCGCTCATTGCGTTCGCGCCCGTTCAACTAATACCGCTTCTGCGCCTTCGTTATGCAGCAACCTTTAGGTCTACGATTTGTTTTCTGGCGGAACTTAGTCATTTAGCTGGGTGGCCCCTTATTGTATCTCACGATGTTTTTAGAAATTCTGAGCTTGTGAGTATTTGCGTAAAGTAAATGCAAATATCTAGTAGTACAATTTTTTGGAAGCAAGAAGCGTTGTGCGTATTTTGTTCACCGATCATTCTCAAAGATCTCTGTCGGCCACTCCCTACAAACGAGTAACTAAGGAAAAGGTTCACACTCGTGGTAGTTCTAGGCTGTGGTGCGAAAATCTTTGTTTTCGTCCCTATAAAAGGGGAAAATTTTTGTTGCTTAGAGTCTTTTGGTATTATTACATATGAAAAACTTGCATTGGTATTTGTCACTTGATTAATACAGCGCAAGGATTTGGGCTTGGGTCTTCATTTTTACAGCCTTTTATATGCAATAGGAACACGTTTTTTGTGCTTATAGCATTATAATTACATAATCAAGAACATAGTGTGATGCGACCGTGATTTTGTGAGAGCAGCATGACACAGATGCAAGAGCAGTATTTAATTCTAAGTCATTCGTGCTAAATATTGCTTTCGAATGATTGAGCAATGGTCTTCACACACAAAGTCCATTAGATTTATTACAAATAATTATTAATTTCTCACACAAGATGATACTCCGCAATTAGAAGTTTTTGTGGGAAAAAATTTGACGGTTGATAATTCAAAACAGGTTTCATCTTCAAATACGAAGGTCATACGAATGTCTCAAGGATGTGTAGTCACGAAATATTCAGGAAAGTACGTAAGTGAAAATTATGGAGGAAACAATCGGAAGAGTAGTAAATCCTCAGCTAATAGAATAGAGATCCGTTACGTAGGACATGGAACATGCAATGCTAGTAAAACCTCGAAGAAAAAAGGACCTTCTAAGCAGCAGAGGGGGAGAAGCGCGACAGGAGACGGCGCACTGCACGGAAAAGTTGCCAGGGTCGCCGCGCAGCTGTCTCTGACCGGCTGACCTTAGCACTTGTTTACGAACGCACTCGCACTAGCCATAAACTTCCGTAAGAATGCTCTCGTTCGAACGGCAACTCATCCTAGGAAGCCTCGTCTTTCTGACAATGGTGGATTTATGGAGAGCTTTCACAGATCCTCACACTGAAGTGATTGATTATCGGTGCTGACAGCATATCGGCCTCGGCCAAATTGGAGTTGCTGCATATTGGTAGGTATACCTTCGTAGTTCCAAGTACAGAAGTGAAAAGACTACTGTAGTCGCGCTCTTAACACGTTACATAATGAGATAATTGTGACAGGAGGTGACTCAAAATGGGCAATGTTTCTGCTGTGCAATATAGTTTTTGAAGGAATGTGTAAAACTTTTCCAGTTTTAAGTCAGAAGCTCCATGTCCCTGGTCGGTGCATAAAATGTACGTTTTGCGAAGTTTTACATGATCTTAGTCCTTGTAGAATATTTTCCGGGGCTACTCGAAATTTTGTTCTGGTAGATTTAGTCGTCGATATAAAATTCATGCTACCCAAAATATGGAGTTTTTAGATGTCGAAATTCTTGAAATTCACATGAAGAAACTCTATTGTTGATCTGCAAATTATAGTTTCAATTATTATTTCTTGGAGATTGTGCCTTATCAAAGAGACCTTATGTGGTTTAGATTGTGAGAAAACACTCTTGAAAATGACACCTTAAGGTACATATGTTTACGAACTTTAGGTGTTTCCGAATCCTACGAATGAAGGCGAGGACGCTGATAACAATTTCTGTTAGATCTAACCTATCTATAACCTCACCCTCATCCAGCCACAATCTTTTAGTATAATCACTGATATTGCAAAATAGTCTGCAGAACTGATTTGGCGTTTAGTAATCAGAAAGCTAAATAGGCTTGATTCTATATCAAATGAGAATCTCTGGAAGCTCTAACACTTACAGAAAAAGGATCAAAGTGTTGGTCGAGGGTTTGAGAATACACTGTCCAAAGTGATGGAGTTCGTTTAAGCTTCGGACGCGGCTTGTAGCCAAAAATTCGGGCATTCAGGTTATGCCAAAAACTGATTTTTCGATCTTTGATCACAGATTGTTAGAACCATTAACATTTTAATTTATTTTTGTGAATGGTTCTATGACATACTCTTTCTGACTAAGAGAAGTTGGCAGTGATTGGATGTCTCTGCGAATAGTTACGAATTTTGAACTATTTAAGACTTTTTGATTTTGGTGCATATTGATTTTTTGAAATGTGCTATGCAATACTACTTTTGATATACATAACAGAGAGCATATTCTAAATTGATCAGTTTGCTGAGGTTTTGAAATAACTTCTTCTATTTTGTGGCGCAAAAACTGTCAACCTAATATTAAGTTGGTGCAAAACTTCTGTCGCATAATTTTGAATATCATGACTTGGACTCTCAACGGATTTGCGTAAACGCAACTTATTGCTAGATAAGGGAAACCCTTTCCCTGTGATAGTGCCTTTGCTGTTCTATAATAAGTGGTAGCTTTGAAATGTAAGCAAGAGAAAATTGCTTCAACTCCGGACGTTTTGAGTTAGGCTATTAAAAATCTGCAACCTGCGATAAAATTCTAGCAAGAAATATAGTAAATTTTTTGATCCACCCTTTCCAATGGTGCAAAGCTGTATCAAACGAGCATCTCTGCGAAGAGTTATGATTTTTGGCTAACAATAAACATTAGAAAACACCCGATTTGATTTTTTTTTGCCTTTTTTAGAAATTTAAACTCATCATAGAGATGCTCAACTCAATTGAGTTGGAAAGGGGCGATTAAAAGACTTAGTAATGCTTGCTCCTGGGCCAACCAAGCCCTCTACCCTCCGGGGCCGGTAAATTGGTACCAGAGTAATCTGGGAGGATAAAAGCACTGACTTGGAAACGGCTGGCCCCCGCAAGTCACTGTAATAGGCTCGCACGCATACAATTGCCTCTTCGACTATGAAGTTAGTGTGTGCGTTCGGCGCATGCCCTCAGAGGGTATTGAAGACGCCGAATTCTTTATCCTTTATCCTAGTAATGCTTGCTGGAAATTTTATTGCAAGTCAGATTTTTAGCAGCCTGGCTTCAAATAACCAGAGTTGAAGTGATTTATACTCCTGCTTCTATCTCAGAAGTTTCCCATATTAGAGAGCAGCAAAGGCACTATCACATTGAAAAGTGTTCTCTCTAGTTAGCGAAATTGAGTGTTCCGTTGAGAGAGCAAGAAGTTTAGATTATTCAAATTGAAGATGCGCAAGAACTTTTGCATCAACCTAGTATCAGTTTGTCCCAGAAATAGAATTCTTGTCTGTATAAATCAAACTTTGTTTTTCTGACAGACTTAGGATACCATTCCATACAGCGAAGCAAACTACCCAGGATGACCACCAAAATTTCGGCAAAGTCATCCAGGTAAAATCTGGAGCCAAAAATCAAATTTCCAAAATTACTTTGAAATTGCCTTTCCAAAATTCCTATGGACCTCCTACGATTTTACAGTATACACACAGTAGTTTGTGAAGTACATTTGGTGGATTTTTCCTGGTCTCTTCAGTAGGAGATAAAAAATTTCAGTTTTTGGGTTTTTATGTTAAACTTGGTATTTCTCGATTGCCACGGCACATACAGAGGTAAAATTCAAAGGTTATACTCATTCAGACTTGCAGTATACAAACACATATCCAGGAGTG